TTGTAGCTCAGTGGTTGAGTGCCCCTGAGTTCAATTGCCAGTACCAAAAAAATAAAATAAAATAAAATTATAAAAACTAAAAAAAGGGCTGGGATGTGGCTCAGAGACTAAGTGCCCCTGGGTTCAATCTCTGGTCTCTGGTACCCACCCCCCCCCCAAAAAAAAAAAGAAAGAGAGAAAGAAAGAAAAGAAAACAATAAGAGATAAAGATGAAAATGGGGCTGGGCTGGGGTTGTAGCTCAGTGGTAGAGCACTTTCCTCACACATATGAGGCACTTCGTTCAACCCTCAGCATCATATAAACATAAATAAAATAAAGGTATTCTGCTAAAAATATTAAAAGAAGAAAATAATGATTATATGAGGCTGGTTTCTATGAGGGTAGGTAATGTATACCTAAATGTGTATACTTAACCATAGCCTGGATCTACACTATGAAGGATTTTCAGGATAAACTTTAAAAAGCCACATAAACAGCATGCATTTTAAAATCAGATGCTGTCTAATATCTCAGACATGGAACTCCTTGTAACCTTATTCATTAGAACTTGAATCAGTTGGATCAGGGAGCTCATCCAGTACATTAAAATTTTTGAAGGCCAAACAAGATTTCAGTTTATGGCAGCTTCCACACTTAAAGTTTAAAAGATTTCAGAATAAGTTTTCTTCATTTCTTAATTTTTTTTTTAATAAATAATATACCCAGCTGGGTACAGTGGCACATTCCTGTAATCCCAGCCACTTAGGAGACTGAGGCAGGAACCTCACAAGTTAAAAGCAGCCACAATAACTTAGCGAGGCCCTGTCTCAAAATATAAAACAGGCTGGGAATGTGGCTCAGTGGTTAAGTGCTCCTGGGTTCAATCACTGGTATAAATAAATAATGTAAACACAAAATTTCAAATATATAGGACTATACTTTTAAAATGTAATCCTATATTTATCTTTAAACACTTCACTATTTTGATAAAAGTGCTTCTTAGCATCTTTTCAAGTATGTGTACAGTACATGTATATTTTTGTCATTCTAACTAGGAGAGGTGACACTTTCAGGATGAGAGGAAGCCTTCCTCTTCTTCTTTTTCCTCTTCCCCTGCTTCTTCTTTCCCTTTTCTTCTTCCCTCTCCTCTCTCTACTCCTTCTCATCCTCCTTCCCTCTCCTTTTTTTAAATTTTATTTTTTCTGGTACTGGGGATTGAACTCAGGGCCACTTAACCACTTAGCCACATTCCCAACTCTTTTCTGTATTTTATTTAGAGACTGGGTCTCACCGAGTTTCTTAACACCCCACTAAGTTGCTGAGGCTGGTTTTGAACCTGAGATTCTCCTGTCTCAGCCTCCTGAGCTGCTGGGATTACAAGCATGCACCACTGCACCCAGCTCTTCCTTCTTTTTTTTTTTTTTTTCCTTCCCCCAGCCCCCATGTTCTGGGGATTAAACCCAGGACTTCACACATTGAGCTACATCTCCAATCCCTAAAGGTTCTTTTCTAATCACTGTAATACTCTAGAATAGACATTTAGAATGTATTTATTTTCCCCAGTTGATAGCCCAATAGTTGATATAGTGCCTTAAATGTTCAAAAAGCATTAGAAACCTTAGGAATTTCTGCCAAGTTCTTGTGATCTAATAATCCATTGTGTGACTCAGCAGTAGAGCGCTTGCCTAGCACGTGGGAGGCCCAGGGTTTGATCCTCAGCACCACTTAAAAATAAATAAATAAGTAAACAAAATAATCTATTGAAAGCACAGGATTAAATTATGTATTGAAAAGCCCAAGTCAGCTGCTCAAGGGATATACTGGCTGCACCCCTGCTCAAGTCAGGGAAGGGAAAAGAAAGCCACCTACTAATTATTGAATATTTAGTGTGTGCCTAGAACTTTTGCTTATTAAGGGACCTCAGAACAGTCAAGTGAGGTCACATAGGTTTAAAGTAGACAAGTGTAGTTAGAATTTGAACCATGTCTAATTCCAAAGATGTCTCCATCACCACACAGTGTGGTAGAGCTGTTGACTGGTCATAAAAGACAAAGAAAAATAGGGAACAGTATTGTCAATATCATAAACTATAAAAAGCAAGATGGAAAACAATGAGCATATATTATATATTGCCACTGTGTGAAATATGTGTACATCATATAGAGATGCACAAATGTATGTCTTATTTTTACATATGCTTAGCATATCTAGCTAACACAGTGGTTGCCTTCAGAAGTGGGCTGAAGTTTTGAGTTTTGTTTTGTGAGCATGTATAGCTTGATCTTCCTTCATCCAAAGATCCAAAATCTGAAACATTCCAAAATCTGAAGCTTTTTGAGCTCAGACATGATACCACAGGAGAAAATTCCACCTTTTCATGTGACAATCAAAATGCAGGTATATTTAAACTGTTGTAAATAAAATTCCCTTTAAGCTATGTATGTAATGTATATGAAACCTAAATTAATTTTGTGTTTAGATTTGAGTCTCATCCCCAAGATATTTTATTATGTATATGGAAATATTCCAAAATCAGAAACACTTCTGTTCCCAAGCATTTCTGATAAGGGATATTTAACCTATATTACCTATTCAAAAGAGAAACAGTTTTTAAGGATAGTTATTAGGTAGGTTTTTAGAAACATCTAGTTATTTTTCATATATACTAATCTATTTAATAGTAAAGTTTCACAGGTTTATAACTTTTAATGCTACAAAATAATTAATACTAGGTATTTTGATATTGATAAGCATTGACAATGATCTATTTAGGTTTTCAGTAACTATGATGCTACTCTAATGATCTATCACATTGGAATTTGAAAGAAGTAGAATAATGATATAACATGTATTATATCAACAGAGGTAATGATGATAGATTTATTCACATTCAACTTTTTTTTCTTATGGTACTAGGGATTAAACCCAGGAATATTCTACCATAAAACCTCCAGCCTTTTTTTTTTTTTCTGTTTGTTTTTTTTTTTTTTTTAATTAACTAGGGCAGTGGTTATAGCTGAGTGGTAGAGCACTTTCCTAGCATGAGTGAGGCACTGGGTTCTATTCTCAGCACTGCATATAAATAAAAAAATTTTTAATTAATTATTTTATTTCTTTGGTACTGGAGGTGGAACCTAGGGGTACTTTACCACTGAGCTACATCCTCAATCCTTTTTATTTTGATTTTGGGGCAGGGTCTCACTAAGTTGCTGAGTCTAATGGATATTGCTAAGTCTGGCCTCAAACTTTGTAATCTTACTCTATCAGCCTTCCAAGTAGTTGGAATTTTTTTATTAGAGTTTTATAATTACACCCAGTAGTTGGGTTCAATCCTATAAACTTATACAAGCATGGAATTCGATTTCAGTTCATGACAACGTAGCTGGAATTTCAACTATTTTATTTTTTGGGGGTGGGGGCAGTACCAGGAATTGAACTCGGGGTACTCAACCACTGAGCCACATACCCAGTCCTGTTGTGTATTTTATTTAGAGACAGGGTCTCACTGAGTTGCATAGCATCTCGTTGTTACTGAGGCTGGCTTTGAACTTGCGATCCTCCTGCCTCAGCCTCCTCAACTGTTAAGGTTTTAGTGATCTTCAGTTTATCTACTTTTTAAAAACAAGAATACCGTGCCTCAAAAATGACATGTCAGGGCTGGAGTTGTGGCTCAGCGGTAGAGTGCTCGTCTAGCACATGCGAGGCCCTAGGTTCAATCCTCAGCACCACATAAAAATAAATAAATAAAATAAAGGTATTGTTTCCAACTACTTCCAAAAAATAAAAAATGTTTAAAAAAATTGACAGTCGTGACTGAAATAAAAAAAGTATTTTATGAGTCCTAAAACTGAACTTAAAAAAGAAAAAAGTTTCCTATTGGAGCACGGTGGGGCACACCATTAATCCCAGTGACTCTGGAAGTTTGCAAGTTCAAGACCATCCTCAGCAATTTAGCAAGGCCCTATGTAATTTAAGTGAGACCCTGTCTCAAAAATAAAAAATAAAAGGACCGAGGATGTTGCTCAGTGGTTAATTCCCTCTGGGTTCAGTTTCTGGTACCAAAAAAAGAAAAAAGTTTCCTATCTACTAAAAGCCATATTTTAATTTGGGGCTACTTTCATGGAAATAGTGTATTTTGAATAAGCAAGGTGATCAGTTGTGTCTGCTTTGTGTTTATCTTGAATATATTTTATTTATACTTATTTTTTTGTAATTGTACACAATACCTTTATTTTATTTATTTATTTATATGTGGTGCTGAGGATCGAACCCAGGGCCTTGCATTGCACATGCGAGGCGAGTGCTCTACTGCTAAGCCATAATCCCAGCCCCTATATTTAATTTTTGTGTCTCTTTTTTTCAGAACTGCAATGATTTGTTTGTTTTACATAATTGTTCCCCAGTAGACTGGGCATTCCTTCTAAGCAGAATCCATGCTTCCTTTCTTCTTAGATACTTCTTTGATGACTACCTAATTCCTGGCTCTTAGTAGATGATGTTGACTGAATTGAATTGAACTTGATATACTTAGATTAGTACAGAGAAGGGAGAGATATAATCTGTCTTTCAGATATTTGAAAGATTCTCATGTGGAAGAGAGATTAAATTTGTCTCATTTGGGCTGCAATAGATAGTGAACCAATGGGTGAAAGCATTGAGAAGTCTATAAATGTTAAGTCTAAAGCTACACGTTACTGTCATAGGAGGCACTGAATCTATCTCAAGGAGATTCATGGCTCTTGACCTTTGTTTTATACTTTGTTCTAGATGTTGCCTATATGTGATATATCATCAAGGTTATTCCTATGATGATATTACTAACTTGCCATATAGTATTCTTTTTAGAGAAGAGAAAAACAGTGTGAGAACAGTAGTGAGGAAGGAATTATGCATAACTTTGGTTATACTCATCAATATGTGAACATCTATACTATGTCTTGGCAGAAAAAAAGTGTAATTTGGTTCTTATTTTTCATAGGAAATAAAAATACTAAAATTCTTCTTTGATATTTGTTTATAGTAAAATTCATCCGAGAAGTAACACCATATATCAAGAAGCCGTCCTTAGTATCAGATCTGCCATGGGAGGGTGCAGCTCCCCAGTCACCAAGCTTTAGTGGCAGTGAGGACTCTGGTTCTCCGAAACACCAGAACAGCACCAAGGACAGGAAGGTCATCCCTCTCAAAATGTGCTTTGCTGCTAGAAACCTAAGCATGCCGGATCTGGAAAACAGGTGAGCTGTACCTAACAAGAACATCAACATGGTACTTTCAGCTTTGCCAACTTAAGGACTTGCTAAAATACATACATGATTCTATTAACTAAATTATACAAAGGAAAGCTTCAATATGAGAGATTCATTTTTTGAAAAGACACAAGAAACTGTTAATGGTGCTTACCCCTAGGCAATGAAATGGGAATAGAGGGTAGAAGGAAAGTTGGGACTTCTATTCATTTTATACTTTTCTGTAAGCTTATTGCTTTAAAAAACAAAACAAGGAAAAAAAAAAAAACTACAGTACTTTATAATTGAAAAAACGGGTATTTTTTTGAGCCAGGCACATGGCACATACCTATAATTCCAGCAACTGAGGAGGCTGAGGCAAGAGGATTACAAGTTTAATGCCAGCATCAGCAACTTAGTGAGGGTCTAAGCAATTAGTGAAACCGTGCTAAAAATAAAAAGGGCTGGGGACTTAGCTCAGTGGTAAAGTGTTGCTGGGTTCAATGCTTAGTCAAAAAAAGATGGGAATCTCATTGTATTGCTTAGACTGGCCTCAAACTCTTGGATTCAAGTGATATATTGCTTAGACAGGCCTCAAATTTATGGATTCAAGTGATCCTCTTGCCTTAGCTTCCCAAGATAGCTAGTACTACAGGTGTGTGTGCCACCATTCAGTTTAAAAAATAAAATAAAATAAGAAAAATTCTTATATTGTAGGTGGTGTTAAGAGTCAGAGATCTGCATTATATATTTGGCTGTCTCAGCTAGCACTCTTACCCTGGCGAGTTTACTTCTCTTGACCTCAGTTTCCTCTTTTACAAAATGAGAGAGTTGGATTGAATTTTTTTTTTCTAATGGTACTGGAAAATGAAACCAGTGATGCTTTACCACTTGAGGCACATCTCCAGCCCTTTTTACTTTTTACTTTGAAATAGGGCCTTGGTAAGTTTCTGAGACTGTCCTCAAACTTGCAATCTTCCTGCCTCAGCCTCCTGAGTTGCCTGGATTATAAGTGTGCACCACTGTGCCCAGCATATGACAATATTTTAACTTTATTTTTTATAGAAAAGAAAAACAGTAGAATTGTAAATAGTTTGGCACGAATTATGTACAACTACTAGAATGTGAATATCTATGCTATATGTCTTGGCAGAAAAAGTACGTAGACAGTGGCACCTCAGTTACAAAAGTTAAAATATTGGAATGAGGAATGTGGGCTTTGTAATTTTGACCAACCTATTTGTTTTGTCTATACCTTGATTTCCTCCTGTATAAAATCAAGATTATAGGAGGATTTAATGAAAAAAAGTTTGAAAAGTTGGCATAGTAAGACCCTTTTTAACAAATGGTTCTGGGAAAACTGGTTATCCATATGTAAAAGAATGAGACTAGATCTTATTTCTCACCATGCACAAAAGTCACCTAAAAATGGACCAAAGACCTAGGAATTAGACCAGAAAATATACAACTCATAAAAGAAAATGTAGGGTCAACACTCCAACATATAGGCACAGGCAATGATTTCTCAATAGGACCCTGAAAGCTTAGGAAATAATATCAAGAATTAATAAATGGAATGGTATCAAATTAAAAAGCTTCTGCATGCAAAGGAAATATTTAAAAATATGAAGCCAGAACCTACAGATGGGAGAAAACTTTTGCTAGCTACTCTTCTGACAGAGGATTAATATCCAAAATTACATAAAGAACTCAGAAACTTAACAGTAAAGAAAAAAAATCCAATTAATGAATGGGCAATAACTCAATTAATGAATGGTCACTTCTCAAAAGAAGAGATACAAATGGCCAACAAATATATGAAAAAATGTTCAATATCTTCAGTAACAGGAAAACAGAAATGAAAACTTCACTGAGATTTTTTTAATCTCATTCCAATTAGAATGGCATTCATCAAGAAAGAAAACAATAATAAAGCTGGAGATGATATGGAGAAAAAAACACTTGTTAGTGGAATTGTAAATTAGTATAAATACTATGGAAATCAGCATAGAAATTCCTCAAAAAACTAGGAATGGAATCACCATATGACCTAGCTATACCACTCCTTGATATTTATTCTGAAGAATTAAAGTTAGCCTATTATAGTGATAGATGCATGCCCATGTTTATAGCAGCACAATTCAAAGTAGCCAAACACCAGCCTAGGTGTCCATCAGTGGATGAATGGATAAAGAAAATGTGGTATATACATACAATGGAGTTTATTCAGTCATAAAGATGTACAAAATTGTGTAATTTGTAGGAAAATGGATAGAATTTGAGAGCATTATGTTAAGTGAAATAGCTGGGCTGGGAATATAGCTCATTTGGTAGAGTGCTTGCCTCACATGCACAAGGCCCTGGGTTCAATCCCCAGCACCACCAAAAAAAAAAAAAAAAAAAAGTGTTAAGTGAAATAGCCAAATTCAGAAATTCAAAGGTCATGTTTTCTCTCATATGTGGAAGCTAAAGAGGAAAAGGGGAAGAATGGTTGGGGGCATCTCATGAAAATCAGAGGGATATCAGAAGAGTAGAGGAAAAGGACCAGAAAGAGGGAATTATGTTGGCCAAATTATATTGTTATATTGTGTTCATGTGTGACTATGTAACAAAGAATCCCACCATTATATGTAATTATAATTTACCTATTTGAAACTGGAAAAATGAATAAGTATAAATAAGATAATGTCTATAAAATCACTTGTAGCTTTTTTGTCCTTAATTTTATCCAGCTCTGTCAAAGGAATTGTGAATTTATTTATCTTTCTTTTGTATTGATGGTCACTTGAGCTGTTTTCAGTTTGAAGATAGCTATTATAAACACATACTTTTGTGTGTGTGTGTGTGGTGGTAATTGTGATTGAACCCAGGGCCTCATGCATGCTAGGCAAGCACTCTACCACTGAGTTTCATCCCCAGCCTCCAACCCCCACCTTTTTAAAAAAATTTTGAGACAAGATGTTGCTAAATTGCTGGGGCTAGCCTCAAACTTATAATCCTCCTGCCTTAGCCTCCTGAGTAACTGGGATTACAGACATAAGCCACTACACCCAGCTATCATGAATGCATTTTTACAAGTCTTTTCGTGGGCATACATATTCATTTCATTTGAATAAATTCATAGGAGTGAAATCATGAAGTCCAAGAGTAAACATATGTTTGGTTTTATAAGAAACTGCCAGCCAGGTGGCTGAGACAGAAGGACCCAAGTTCAAAGCCAGCAGCAACAACCTAATAATAAAAAGGGCTAGGAATGTGACTCAGTGGTTAAGTGCCCCGGGGTTCTATCCCTGGTACAAAAAAAAAAAACTCTTCAAACTCCCTTCCAAGTGGTTGTGCCATTTTATGTTCCCACCAATAACATATCAAAGTTCCCATTGGTTTCTTCCTTACCAACTTGGTCTTTTTAATATCAACTATTCTGGAGGGTGTTTAGCGGGATTTGATGATTTGTTGTGGTTCATTCTTCATTGTTATGTAAAGGCTTCACTTCTAATCACAAAATTATTTTAGATTAGAGGGAAACTTTTTTTTTTTTTTAACTATTTTACTATTTTGATTTGGTTCTACTACATAGAGCTGAAGAAGTTCTGAAAGGGAAGAGGAAGTTTATTCCCTTTTCCCACTTTGAATTTTCACTACCTCACTAGATGCTTCTGATACTTTACAAGTGTTTCGTTCTGGAATCTGAAAGCTAAATAAGTAATGATGAAGTCCAGGGAGAGAACATGAGCTGGTTCCTTAGCAAACAGTACTGTAGACAGTGTGACATTTAGCAAAACCAAGATGTTCTTAAATGCTGCTTTTCAGAAATGGTTCACAATGTCTTGGTCATCTTCACACTGTCTATTTTCCATGTAAAAGGGTAAATCTTGATTTTATGACATAAAGTTATGTAACTAAATTGAACACACAAATTATGTCAAAGACTGTATTGAACAGAAGAAATAAAGTATGCTGGACTTCAAGAATCCTATGCTTCTGTGTACCTAAACATTGATTTGATTTTTCTGATCAAAATGTAATTCCATTTCTCAGGAAATCCTTGGTGTTTTGAGTAGAGGCCAAAACTTCACAGTGTGGCTGTTTGCTCCTCTCTTCTCTGGGCCCAATTACTGACAGAGTGCCTCCACATTTTTTTTTTAAATATTTTTTAGTTGTTGATGGACCTTTATTTTATTTGTATGTGGTGCTGAGAATTGAACCCAGTGCCTCACGCATGCTAGGCAAGCACGTTACCACTGAGCCACAACCCCAGCCCCCCACATTTTTATTAGAGTTTACATTTGAATTTTTCTTTTATAAACAGCAGGAGACTTTAGGCATTACTCTGTCCCCATTGTTAGTTTTAGGGGCTTCTTCAAAGGCAGACTTTTCTGGATCCTAGCATCATCAATACTATTTTGGAGTTTTCTTCTTTGTTCTGATATAATTTCCCATTTCATAATGACTTTTCAAGAAACTACAAAAGTGGTCCTACCCTGGGAAATAAGTTACTACCTATTTTCATCTTTGAACCCTGGTTCTAATATTTACTCCTATTTAAACTTCTTTTTTTAAATATATAACAAATATTTATTGATATTAATGATTATTATTGTCATACTAATGAAGTACTTATATTTAAATATTAATATCTATTTAACATTATTTTTAGATAAAATATTAATTCTTTTTAAAGTGAAACTTAACTGAAAATAACATACACTAAGCTTAAGCATAAAAGGTTGTTATAACTATAAGTCTTAAGGAATACAAAAAAGAATGAGTCAAATATTAAGAGACATTTGGTAATAATGAAAGAGACCACACAGAGTTGGGGTTGTGGTTCAGTAGTAGAGTGCTTGCCTAGCATGTGTGAGGCACTAGGTTAGATTCTCAGCACCACATATAAATAAATAAAGGTCCATCAGCAACTAATAAAAAAAAAGGGACACACATCACGAAAATTTAATAATTATAAATGAATATGCACCTACTAATAGAACTTAAAAGTATATGATTGAAAA